CAATGAAAAGAAAAAATATAGTTAGCTGTTCCGATCTACTGAACAGCTAACAATATATATATATTGCTTTATGAATATATATATATGTATGTTGCTTTATGAATATCATCCCCTTTTTTTCTATCATTTCCTCCCTTATGTATCTTTTTTCTTCTCAGTGGTTCCACGGCCAGGCCGCCACAGAAAGCCCATGACCGCTCCAAAGACTCCGAAAGAGAAGGCGTCTAAGATAAAGAAAGTGTTGCTTACTGTCCTGACAGTTGTGATCTTACTGGGCATACTGGTCACTGCAGCATACTTCAGTGAGTCACAATTCTTGAAAGTAGTTTCTTCCGCGACGGACAAACGCAAACACCACAAAATGGCAGGCCAAACAGGCCCTTCCCTCATATTTCCATCAGCTTTCACTGTTTGGATACTAGAGAAACATGTTTAGCAAAGGTGTAAAATTCATGACAGAATTCAGTGTCTTTGTTCTGCCCTTCCCTTCCCAATCTGCCTCTCTGTTTCCCTCCAGTAAAGCAGCTGATTGACAGCAAGTATTTCTTCTGCAAGAGTTCCGTGAAGTTCATCCCATTAGACAAAGCCTGTGACGGGAAAGATGACTGCTCTGGAGGAGAGGATGAAATTACATGTTTGGCAAGATATACGGTCAACACTACCTTTCCAGGTAAAGGAAAACACCTGACTCTGTCGCTTTGTCATCACGGACACAAAAACAACGCTTGGAAAAAAAAATATGAATCTTCCTTTTTGTGCCATTTCTCCCTGCAGTGCGTCTCATGACAGGGAAGCAGGTCCTGCAGGTGTACAGTCGCGGCCAAGGCTGGCGGAGTGTGTGTAGCGACAACTGGAGCAAGCAGTACACAGAGAAAGCATGCAAACAACTAGGCTACACAAAGTGAGTTTACACATGAATATCAGATTGCTTCCATTGTTCCAAGTTTGTGTCGCTAATTTAATGTGTTATTTGACCTGAAATCAAGTCTTACACCCCTCCCCCTTCTGTCTAAACAGTAAACCTCGTAGCACCAGTGTCCCAGTGGACACCTTGACGTCTTCCATGAAAAAAGGACCGTTCACAGCTATCAGGCCTGGTACCACGAACACACCCATACATCAGGCTACCATAGACCAGTGAGTAAGGCATCTGTCATGAAATAGGAAAAATCACTGTTAACATCAGACCTGAAGTCATCTAAAATATCAGTGCTGTCCAGGAAACTCTGTGTGCTGTTGCTGTTGACATTACTTTTATGTCAAGAGAGACAAAGACACAGCTGTTGACAGAGAGCTGATTCCCATCTGAACTAAAAAGTGTCTGTTGTCTTGAAAATAAAAGCAATATGCACTTCCCTCTTCCTGTGTTTTGAAAAATTCTCTTTCCCTGTTCAGCTTTTTGCTCTCGCTCTCCCCCTTCATTTCTCTTCTTGCTGATGTCTGTTCTCACAGTTTCTGTTCCTAAAAGACAAAACAATCCCACAGTTTTTGTTCTCATCCATTATGAAAGTGAACAAAAAGATGGGTAGTTTACTCAAACAAAGCAGAAGAGAAACAGAGACAAAGTTCAGCATGGGTGAATTTTGGTCAACATTTGACTGTGTATTTTGTCTGTTTGCCAAATTTTTGAGTCGCTATTTGTGGCGCCATGTGCAACTCTAAATATTTGGCGAACGCATTTTGTTTCCCAACAGCAGTGTATGCAGATCTGGATCTGTGGTATCTTTGACATGTTCAGGTGAGTTTCATTTTTTGAAAAAAACAACCACCGTCACTAACATTGTTTACAGTTTTGTCAGCAGAGTAAGAGTCATGGTTAGTGGGTGGAGATGACAGTTGTAGGACCAGTTTTACACTAACAGGCCCATACACGTCTAGCAGCAAAACTCCTCCTTAGCAACATGAGATGTTTTTTTTTTTTTTTTTTTTTTTTTTTTTTTTTTAAAGTTGAGGACAGGGAAACGCCTTATCTTTCCTGACCTTTACTGTTAGAATAGAAGGATCTAGATGGATAAAAAAAAAACATGCAATACAAGTTAGATTGAAATGGACTACAGTAAATGGAATGATCTTAACAAGATAAATTTGTTCATCAGACTGTGGAGAGGCGGGCCCTGGGGACCGCATTGTCGGGGGTGCAGATGCTTTAATTACGGACTGGCCCTGGCAGGTTAGCCTGCAACAGGGGGGCCATCACACATGTGGAGGCACACTGGTGTCACCGCTTTGGGTCGTCACTGCCGCCCACTGCTTTGCCAGGTCAGTGTAGTTACCATAAATACCATTTCCAATGAATATCCTTTTGTGGTAAACATCATGAACTCATGCTCACACCTCCTCCCCACTCTCTTCCGTTGGGCCTTGCAGTAGTAAAAAGGAGGTGAGTCGCTGGAGAGTGGTGTCAGGCAAGACATACATGGGCACACTTGGAGGTTCCTATGTGGACAGGATCATAATGAATGGAGACTATGACCCAGCACGAAATGACTACGATATTGCACTGATGAGACTCAGCAGCCCAATCACAGTGGGAGGTTAGTTTTATTTGTTACTCCATAAAAACATGGATTGGTATGTGTATTAGTATGCGGTTTAACTGACCTTGTGGAGTCTAGTTGAAATTTAAACCTGAACAGTTCTGAGAAGGGGGAGTGAGGAGTACATAGGCTTTACTCTATTGCCCTCTTGTGGTGTGTACGTCTAACAGCATGCTCTTTACTCTGAATCAAACTCGGGCAGTGTGATCAACAGTCTAACTTTAACTGTACCATCAATTTGCCAAAGCTGTGACAAAAGCAAAATAATAAGAAGGCTAAAATGTTCATAATGAATGCCCTGTACCTGTCCTTCAGAGGGCCGCAAGCCGGTTTGTCTACCTCCTAAAGCCTTTGGCCTTCTTGCCCCGGCCTCCATGACTGTGACTGGCTGGGGATACCTAGAGGAAAACGGTGAGAAACCTACACACTACCCCTCGTCATCATCAACTGTCACCTTGTGAACAAAAATAGAAGTTACCTCTATCACTGAGTGTTGCATCCTTGTCCCTTCAGGTAAAGTCTCTCCTTCGCTTCAGAAGGCCAGGATCCCTCTGATAGACCACGCTAGGTGTTCCAGCCCCACAGTGTATGGTGATTTGATAACCCAGAGGATGATCTGTGCTGGTTTACTGGAGGGGGGAGTGGATGCCTGCCAGGTAACAGTCCACTTAAATCCAGATTAAGACTGCAAATGAAATAATTAGTTGTAGTTTGTAAAATGGTACAACATTGATGTTCTCTTCTTGCAAATGGTTTGGATATTCAGATGTTATAAAGATGTTATTGTGCTGTTATGACTCCCAGGGGGACAGTGGGGGTCCTTTGGTGTACTTCGTCTCCTCTAAATGGCATCTGGTTGGAGTGGTGAGCTGGGGCGTTGGCTGTGCTCGGAAGAAAAGGCCAGGTGTTTACACCAACGTTGAAGAGATGTTGAACTGGATTCATACAGTCATTGAGGTACAGAATACAATATGATGCATACAAAAATACGAGGACTGCAATACATTCAAAACCCACCCTGACAATTTTAACTTCATCCCTCCAGAAAAACCCCTGAGGTCCTCCATCGTGTAGAGCAGCCACCTCGAGACTCCAGTCTAGTCTACCTTGGACAGCCCGTGAAACTAAAAGAAAGCTTTTAATTCAGTGTGGCTGACTGAAGATGGGGAGACAGAAGTAGAGAGGGGAAGTTTAAGATCAATCTCAGCAGCAACACAGAATACCTGTTAAACACAGCCATATGCAACAACACACACACACTCACACACACACACACACACACACACACACACACATTTGATACAAAACTTATTTCAGGTGTTTGTGCCATTTCTGGTTTTTATCTCAGGGGAGATTGTTTATGTCAGGTGTCACTGGCTGGTCTGGGATGGTTTAAGCTTTTACAATGTTTTAATTTGACAGACCCAATTCACTGATTAGGGCAATATTTAAGAAAATAGTCATTGGTATTAAAGTGAGGACTTGGTAATAAGTGCACAACCTGTTTAGACTGGGAAGATTTTGGAGCTTACCAGACTGGCAGACCTTAACCATGATGTACTTTATTACTATGATTTTAGGTGTGCAATGTGTTCATACCGTAAACTGCTGATAGGAAAGGTGATAGACGGGGTAAAGCTGTGCTATGCTAATGTCAGTGTGAAGCCTCAGGTTAATATCCCCAATAAAATTAATTCAAAGTCCAGGAGTTTAAGGCATGTATGGTGCTGATTCAGTTGAGTTACCTGATTACAGGGAACATTTACCTTTTTATACAACACAAATGTTGTGCTCACTTCCCACAACAAATTTATTTAAATGAGCACTTTAAGTGGAATGTGAGAATTACTTGACCTTACTGTATGTACAGCTGATTAAAGTCTAATAATGCACTGAAGACTAAAACTCAATACACACTGTTCTGTTCTCATAGTGCCTCCACAATGAGAACTCAATGAGTCTGCATCTCATTAAAAATCAGTGTCAGTGGCTGCCAGATACACACATCCAGCTGAGGCACCTGGAGGACACACGCACACACACACGAAGACACTGACAAATCATCCACTCACCAGGATGCAGACAAAAAAGTGCCATCAGAAAACTCACACCACGGCCAGAATATTCAGGGTGGTGTTTACAGAGGTTTTCCTATCACAACTAAAAGGAATTAAAATGCAAATAAATATAATTTCCTGAAGTTTGACTGTGAGCAACAGAGATTATATTTTAATTTGTAAAAATGTGCACTCAGGCAAAACCCGTTTTATTTCTTGATTTTAATCATTCCATTTGTAGCAAAGTAAAGTGGCTGATAACATTTGACTGTATATATGGTACATTGTGTTGATTTTTATTCACCTGTAAATAGGTTGTAAATACAATAAAGACATTCTTATGTAACTTGCCAATTGTTTTGTCACACAACTGCAAATGTATGTGCTGGAAACTGGATCTCTCTGTCCTTGATCCATTCAGTGTTACTCTCCTCCCAAGCACACATCCTCCAACCTTAAAGTTAACAAAGGCGACAACAGGGAACAGAATTCATAAATTACGCTCAAAAGATGATCCAAATGACAACTGTCATCTCATATTTCAGGAACATTACTTAGAACGACAAGGTATTGCGTATGAAAGACGGATTCTTCTACCGTCACCCAATGTTAAAAAATAAGGAGACAGTTGATTATGAATGAAAAAACATTTATTTCCTGAATATCAGAGACCTACAAAGGCCAATGACAAAACCCAACTTGAATCAGTGTTGACGTACAGTAGCACATGCGCTGCACCAGTTGAAAGGTTCAGGTGGTGTCTTGTCTGAAAGCCATGTCCACCATGGCCCCCTATAGCCGTTATCCTTCACCAAAACAGATTGATTGGACAGTTTTACACCAAGCAGGAGCTCATCAACTTAATTATCTATTAACAACAGGAGGACTGAGTGCTGAGAAAATTTAACATGCACTTTAAAGTCCTTCAGAACAGGTTGCAGCAGCAGCTCACATGCTAATTAGCATTTACAGATTTTTGGGGAAATCAACAACATTAACGAGTTACATGATAGAAGCACTTATGTTATCTCCTTGAACGACAGCTGGGGCCTTTGAATGGGTCCTGGTCAAAAAAAAAAGAAAAGGAGATGGAAAAGAGATTACAACCTTCGCATTAAGATAATCAAGTAGAGTTAAATACATTTTTGGCAAGCAAATATAAAATGGATCATGGGAGATTAAGTGTAGGGGTACACATTTTTGTTGAGATTGTAATACTAAAAGATATGAGGACTTCAGATTGGATTAAATCTTTTTCTCCGATCTCTTTTTACCTCATCATCACTGTCATCAAATGCAACTCCTTTAGATGACTGGCTCTGGCTCTGAGAGCTGTACTTGGTGAAGGACGATGACGCCGCTGGTGTCCTGTAGTAAGCAAAGGAAGGAGCCAGGGTAAAACAAATGATCAAAAGAAGCGTCACAGATTTTAAATATAAAGTAAGGCACAGAGAGGATGAATCCAGCATGGACAGCTGCGTGTCTCTGCAGGTTTTTCTCTTCATAATGTACTGGACCACCACATTGTAGACCGAACACAGACATACCTTGGAGGGGGTCGTGTAGCTTTCATTACGGGCATATCTTCATCAGAGTCATCAATGATCACCTGGAGATGGATAGAGATGCAAAGCAAGTTCAGAGGAAGGTACAGTTTACATAATGTGTGTGTGTGTGTGTGTGTCGTCATTTGACTTACTTCATCTGCAGTCCGGGATGATCTCTGGGATGGAGCTTGAAATGCTGAAGAATGAGGTATAAAGAAGTGGGAAGAGACACAGGTTGAAGTCAAGGAAGACATTTAAAGTGATGCCACAGTCTGGCACATAAGTGTTGTCTACAGAACGTTAACTGGGCGCCTATAGATCTCCACACACACACACACACATAATGTCACACTCTCCTACCTTGCATAATGCTCCTGCTCTGGGTTGTTGCTGAGGATTTCTGGGAACGGCCCCGACCAGCTGGCTTTGGTTCAGAGGCAGTTGCACCTGGGTGGACAGATGAACAGCTCAGAACAAGGATTTATGATGCAATGCACAACATCTTCATATATATATATATATATATATATACATACACGTATATGTATATACGTATATGTATATATACGTATATATATATATACACTGTGCGTTTACTATCTAACACTATCTTACTCTCGCTGCACCTCTACTTTTACTACATCTTCGTGACAGATACTATGATAACTCACCTCTCCCCCTTCCCCGGCCACCCCGCCCCCTGCCTCCTCGTCCTCGGCCTCGTGTGAGGGGAGAAAACGGGGCCGAGCCTTCGTCAGAGTCCAAAGCCAGCTCATTGAATATATCAGAGTCTGCAGGCTCATTGCCACGCTCCAAACGTTGAGCTTTGGCTCTGTTGATAGCCTGAGAGATGGAGAGATGAAGCGCACACAGTGTAACACAACAGACCACACAACATTTAAGGCTTGTGTGCAATCATTACTTACTTCTTTGATTTCATTCTCTTCCTCGGTTGTGTTCTTTTTGGAGTCTCTGAATCGCCGGATCTGAAAGTGTAGAAGCATGCATTCTTTTAATGACGTCCAACATTACCATCCTCTGTCCTACTTCCCATGCTAGCCCCAGCCCTTACCTCAGCGTCTATATCCTGCTCCGTGGTTACTCCTCTGGCCTGGAGGTGGCGCTGTGTCCTCTCTAACTGGTAAGTGATCAGCTCCTCAATGGCGTCTTTCTCATCTTTGTCTACAAACTCCTGAATTGCCTTCCCCATGCCCTGCTCCGTCAGAAGGGACAGCTGCACGGTCTGTGGAGATATGCACACACTTTTTAAGAAAAAAAGAAAGAAAATTCAACAGAAACAGTAGATAAGTGTTATGAAACCCTGTAAGTGTGTGAATGTAAATCTGTGTGTGCAGTACCTGTTCGGTCGCCTCAAAGTACTGTTTGACCAGGTCCTCCACTCTCAGCCCCTCTACTGCGGGGGTTTTTAACAGTTTGCCGTAGTCCAAATTGACCTCATCTAAAAAGCACAAAGATTGAAACATGTCAAGTGCTGTAAATCAACCAATGGTGTATACTGTAGATCCATAGCTGTGTATTTAGTGAGTCAAACCCTTGATGTCCTCCTTCTGCTCGCGGCGTCTGAGAAAGTGAATGAGGTCTTTTGGGTTGGCTACGCGGTCCACAAACTTCTGACTGAAGCGAGAAGTGTTAAACGTCTCAAAGCCTCCACTGTAGTCCACCTGGGAAGGCAATGAAGACGATGAATTTGACTCAGAGCGAATGGGAAGGTGTGTGCACACGCTGCAAGTGTGTCCATCTTACCCTCAGGCGAATGAGAGGTTTTTCTGGGGTAAGCGGACATCCAAGTCTTTCTCTTTCAGCTTCTTCCAACATCTCTGTGACCTACAGAATGACCGGAAGATTAAGACACAGATATAAGAGGACAGATGAGGACACGGATGGTAAGATGAGCCATGGAAGTTTGCTGGTGACTTTTAAGTGTTACCTTTGCATAGCACAAGTTCTCCACCTTCTTTGTGACCTGGGGTGTATCAGGTGTGAAGAGGTCTTGGTAGTCAGCCAGCACCACATCTTGGATGAAGAACTGACGCACCGTCTTTAGGGGGATCTTTTGCAGGTTCATCTTACGACCCTTCACCCTCAGCAGCCCTATGTGCCTATATCCACACAAACAGAGTGTTTGGGCCACTTTATCTCTTTAAGAATATAGAGTACTATCCATTGTGAGTATGTGTGTATTTGTTTGTACTTCTTGGTCGCCTCTCCAGGGGACAGGGAGGTGGCTACAGAGCTGCCAGGCTGTGTCACATAGAAGAGCTGCTGTTCATTTCTGGTTGGCGCAATTAAACACTCGTGCTCATGACCCCAAACCACCAAGTCGAGAAATTCATCCAGGAACTGCTCAGGGATGTAGTTAGTGGGTCCGTGTTTACTCCTAGAGAAGACACATAGGCAGACAAGACAACAATTCAAAACAATTCACAAAGTGTATTGAGAAAATATAGTGGTTTGAATCCCGAAACCACTAACATGCACACACCTGTTCTGGTGGATGGTGAAGAGGTTAAACCACTCATCTTGGTCTTCTTTGGGACGAAGCATCGTTACCTGGTTGTTGACAAACATCCTGTACAAGCGCTCATCTGGGATAGAGCCTAAACACAAATGCATTCATATTTTAGACCAAAACATGAATCGTTTTACTAATCTTGGCGGGACACAGACAAAGAATATTCTAGGAATGAGTATTTATAGTACACCGTGATACAAATAAACTCTTACCAAGACCAAATAAGGCTAGCTTGGTGCTGCCTTTCTGCATGAGGATGGGACTAATTTCTATCCTCTCCACTGACTGGGAGTGACCAAAGTGATTGACAAGACCAGAGGCACTCAGCAGATCCAACGCACACAAACCTTCAGCCTTGAGGGGGGAAAAAAAAGAAACCGTGACAATAAAACACACAGACACACACATGAACATACTTGGATAATAAGATCTTGTGTCCAATTATTTCTTTTATGCGGGACTCACAACTCACCCCAGTTGGGTCATCATGGTTACCATGAATGCTGAATGCAGGAATAGAGATGTTCAGGTTTTCATCCTGATAGTTAACCCAGGGGAACCTACAACACGTCAACAAACATGAAACGACATTAATGTAACAAGACGACAATGTTTTGTAAAATGACCACACGAACGCAGCAGAACTGACTGAGTGGTGTTGAAGTTGACAGTCTGGTCACTGAGGATGTTGAACTGTATGGGTGTGTTTCCCATGCAGTATTGTCTTAGCATGGTGATGCAGCTGTGGAGGCATCGGCGTGACGGCTTGTTCTCGTGGAACAAATCACCACCCAGCAGGATGAAATCTACCTGCAAGCAAACAAGCAAATAGAGAGCAGTGGGTATTTAGAGCAGGTACACTTTCTTACGTCCATTCAAGCAGACAGAAACATGTTGAGTCATCCACGTACATATTCATCAACTTGTACGTACCTGATTTGTCTTGGCACATTTCAGGATTTCATCGAGTGTGGTGTAAGAGTCATTGCCACGAATAGCATCCTTCTCGAGGTAACCGAGGTGAATATCTGTAGCGATCAGGATCTTGAAGGTATCCTCATCATCCCTAGAAAAAAACACAGCACACAATACAACTCGTACATGACATTGTTTTGCACCCAGATTTAACTGTAAATCATCTAGATATAAAACATGTATTTGAGAAAAGCTCTGCAGGTATTTAAAAAACACTCACAAGTTGTGCTCTGAGGACATGATGATGTAGGGAAATGGGATCTCACTCCTGACAGGTGGTCTGAAAATGCATTTAGACCAAAACATCTTGCTTAAAAAAGATTTGAGACACGTTATCGTGAGGAAAAACAATCATTGAATTATGAGACTAAGCAACACATTTGTACAAGTATTATGTTTATATGTAAGGAGCGAATATAAATACCACACATCAGCTAGGTCACAATGATAAAGACAGTATTAATTCATAAACAGACCATGAGCTATTCGTGGGAAACATTGCAGAATAAAAATAATATTTTTGTCACGAGTTTCTGAAAGAAAGCCATGTTTACAACATGTGGGTCACCGAACAATACACGTTACGACGTAAAGATTTGCGTTATACTGTGTGATAGCTAGCTAGCTAGCTAGCTAATTATCCGTTAGTAACTAACAGCAACATCTAAGTTACTGCCAGGATGGGATGGGGTAAGCTACCGTTAGCTTTCACTTTAGCTAGAAACGTTAGCTAACGTTAGATGAGATGTATCAATGAGATAACGTTAGCTAACAGGAACTAAACTTTAGAGCTTACAAATCGGGTGTGTCTAACGTTAACCTACATGTCTGTTGAACGTTAGATAATTACGTTATTTGTATTGTATGCTATAAACTACAACCATATACATCTATAACTACAATGTGGGAGAATCTTAACCCACCTCCTCTTGTGTTCAACAACTTGTAAACATGCGAGTAAAATCCCGGCAACTCTTGCAACCGCCTCTCACAGATGGATAATGGTTATTGTAGTTTTATTATGAAACAGTAGTGTTCTAAACTCCTGAATAATCGCGGAAGAAGAACTACACTTCCGGTAAGCAAAACGGTGTACGTTTGTTTTAACGCTACGATCACGCCGGTCCGGCTGCCTCGAGCAGAACGTTAGTTTAACAGCGTCAGGCGGGCTAGTCTGGTGTCTAAATGAATCATACCCCTCAGAAACCCTGGATTGTGTGGTTTGTGAAGTGATGTTTTCTTTTCATGACCTAGTTTTATTAGCAGTGGCAGCCACAGTCGTAGCTAGCAAGGCTGTCAATCAGGAATTAAAAACGATTTGACTGTTATTTCACTTTTAACTAATATTAACATATTTTTGCATAATTTACTTCTCAGCACAAGCGACGCAGACTGGATTGGCTGCATTTCAATGGAGACGCTGTCAGAAACACCCTGTGCTGATGCTACGCGGAGGAAGGTAGCTTTGACTTTACATTACTAATATTACATCGAGCATAATTTAACTATAAATGGAGAGTTAGAGCTGCTCTATAGAGCTATAGCTAGACTATACGGAAAGCTACCTAGTAGCAGTTGCTACAACTCAGTTCAGCTGATGTTGCAGACCTGGAGAAGTTTCCCCTGAATGTGTTCACGTTATATTTGACTTGAGCAATGTTGCACAAGCCTCATGTTATAACATTAAGGTCAACTAGAGCATGCAATCTAAGGTTTTATCTCATATATTAAACATGTACTGTAGATGTCAATATTCGCCAGATATTGAGGATGCTGGTCAACATTTAGCCCCGTTTCTCTGCAGGAGCTCTGTGCACCGCCAGCACCCAGTGGAGTAGTATCTGACAGCCTTTCATCTTATACGGACTATCCTCCTCACCGTCCCTTCATCAACACATTTCTGCATCACACACCCCAAACACGCTCACATCAGTCTTGTCGCCCATCATCACCCAGAAAGGCATTCCCAGAGACCAGCAGTGCAGGTAACTCTTTACTTTATGCATTCATGTTTGTGTTTTGTTTTCTCTTTTCAAAGTTTCCATTCCAGGTATTGTGGTGTTTCAGCGCTCCATGGTAACAGCATGTGCAACATGATGCCGCACTACTTGAACGTCTCAGTTGCACCGACATCTATTCATTCTCTCACAGTATCCTCCCTCTCTTCCCAGCTGAGCCTACCCTCCAGTTTTTTCCATCCAAACCTAAAAATCATATCTTTTTACGCCACGACTTTAATCATGCCCTAAATATGTTCAATCCACCCAACGTGTAGAGATCTTATCTGCTCTGAGGAACCTCCAGGAGAAGATCAGGAGGTTGGAGTTGGAGAAAGGACATGCGGAACGCAGTCTGCACACTGTGGGGAAAAACGCATCACACACACATCTGCAGAGGGATAAAGTCACGCCGAGACTCTCACAGGATCACAGAGACCCAGAAAGAGAAATAAGTGGACAGGCCAATTGCAATCAAGGTGGGTGCATGAATATCATATTATATCTTGTTTATTTCCCCTCCTATTCCTTATATCTCATGGTGTCTCATTGTTCTCCAGTGTTGATCACTCACCTGGCTGCTGCAGAGTCTCGCTGTGTGAAGCTGGAGCGACAGCTGGATCACATGAGGAGGATGTTGCGCGGTGCCAAGGCAGACAGGACCAGCCTGCTCAAACAGCAGGTTTGAGCTCCTGAGGGCCGTAGAATTCATTCAACACTCGTGCTTTAATTAATGCAACGCTTTTTGTTAAAGGCCTCTAATGTGTGAGTGAGTAGATTTGTAGAACTTTCTTAATTGTTCTCTATGCTTTCAGGTTTCAATGGAGACGGCCAGGTCAGCTGATCAACAGTCTGACGCAGTGTCTGAGCATGCCCAGTTGGAGAAGCTGGAGCGACTGGAGCAGGAGTATATCAGGCTGACACGCACACAGAACAACGCTGAGGTACAGACAAGGACACAGTCCAGTCTGAGAGCGAAAAGTCCATTTTTGGTAAAACTACCTGTAATTTGGTAGAAATTGATTAGTTCTAAAGGATCTCAAACCAAATGCTGTAAGTCAAAAGACACTGTTCTAGCTCTGGTTCTTCAGATCAGTTAAGAAATGACATGTGTGCGTGTTGTCTTACTTAGCCAGAATGATGTTAAAAAGAATATTTATGTTTTAAGTGGGCAGTTACAAGATGGAAAAAAATCAATTGTCTTATTATTATTGTTATTACCACAGTGAAGATGATTGTATGTGTTTTATTACGTCAGATAAAGATTCGGGAGCTGGAGATGAAACTACAGGAAGAGGAGCACCAGAGAAAGCTTGTCCAGGAAAAGGCCAATCAGGTAACAACAATTTAATTTGTATTTCTCTTCAGCTTCAACCACCACTAGTGACAGTTGTAATGCTTGCTATACTTGAAAGGAAGCGTAGGCTATTGTTTTACATACTGCATTCTTTATGCTAAATATAAATCTTGAAATTTCCACACACACTTGAAAATAATGTTTTGTGTGTGTGTGTGTTTGTGTTTTTTAGCTACAGACAAGTTTAGAGACCAATAGGATACTGCTGCAGTCAGTGTCTCCTTGTCTGTCCAGCAGACAGTCCAAAGAGAAGAAGTCTTATTCAAAGGTAAAGAACTCCACAGGGTTTGTTCAAAGTTGTTGTTCCTCTATGAGAATGCTTCTTTCCTTCTTTAGAAGTAGATCTTTGAACAAATGGGACAAGGCGGTTGAAGTCGAGTGCTTCTCTACGGTGTTGGTACATCTCTTAAAGTCACATTGAATAAAGTAGGAAGGAATTTATTCGAATATCTTGATACATTTGTAAGAAGGTAAGAAAGAACGATGGAAGTTGCATTTTCTCTGCTTTTATTTCCTCAAAAAAGCACCAGACTTTTTAATAAGAATCGCTTTAATTTTCCAAATAGTGTCGGTGTGAAAGTAATATATTTTGAAAGTCGGTTGGACAGAAAAACGAATCATTTTGTATATATTGAACAGTAAATGATTGAATCAATACTTTAGATAGATTAACCGATAATAAAAACAATCCTTAGCTGCAGGTCTACTTCATGCTCCCCAATCTACATTCTCCTGTGGATCTTACTATTGTTTATGTTGATTTTCTCTTTCCAGAAATCGTCACCTCAGCAGTCGTCCTACACGCAGCCACACTATAGACTGAGCCTCAGAGATGTACCTTTTGTTGCTGGAACGGTAGGATGCGCACATGTACATCTGAAACAATAAATAAATGTATTCAATGCTGCACTTTCCTAACGCCGTCTCTCTATTCAACGCTCTTTCTCAGTCAGTGGGCTGCAGCCACTCGGTCCGAGCAAACGTCCAGTCAGTTTTGTCTCTCCTGAAGCGACACCAGCCACACCTCTGCAACAGCCGCGTCCTCTCTAACAACGCAAACAGCTATGAGACGGGTTGCCGCAGGCATTCAGGCGGCTCCTCTTCTTCCTCCTCCTCCGCTAGCGGGGAGGAGCTGTCCGAGCTGCTGCAAGCTCTACAGGAGGAGCTGAGACTCATGAGCTTGTGAGTGTAGTTGTGTATGAGCTCTGTAAGGAATGAGAATTAGAATTGTGTTGGATTTTAGTCTCTGTTTGTGTTGCAGGGAGCAGGACGAGTTGAGGAGGCAGGGGGAGGCCAGTGCGTCAGACCAGGAGAGAAAAGAACTTCAGAGGGAGCAGGAGAGGCTGCTGCTGAAAATGGAGAGGAAAGGAGAACAGATCAATAAGCTCTACAAACACAAAACACACGTAGGTTTTCACACACTACCAATTCAGTTCACACAAAACTAAATTGCAAAAGTAAGATTTTGTTTTCCCTCCTTTCTTTTTTTCATCTCTCTGCTAGATAAAGAAGTTAAGAAAGGAAGCTAATTCCAGGCGGAGCAGTGGGAGTGAGGTGAGGTTGACTTCCACAATGTCCACTAGAGGTCGCTCTGCTGCAGCAGTCAAAGTTAAACCAGGAGAGAGAAGCAGGGGGAACCTGAGGCTGCTGAGGGACATGAGGGCTCTGCAGAGCTCGTTATGGACCTGAAACCCACCAGGACATGAACACACCACATTATCTACCTACCTATGGCCACTATATCATGATCAACACAGCCGCTGTCTGTTCATGAACATATATGACCTATGGTACATTGGGAATTTTTGTAACACATCTAGACGGAGGCATGAGGGTTCAGAGTGACAACATAGCGATATAATTAATGACACAATGAAGAAAAACTTGAAAATATTTTTTTATTTTTTAAGAAATAAAAAATGTCATCTTATTTTTTCATGTAGTTTTCTGAGCATGGAAACAATGTTTACAATAATGGACAACCTGGACTTCTATGAGTCTCATAAAATAAAATAAAAATGATTTTTTCTTTTTTCCTTAAATACAGAAGCTAAAATCTCCTGGTTCTAAAACATTCCTGAGTCGCTTGATAGTTACAGATTCTCACACTTAGCTTACATATTCATGAATCGGATGCAGCAGCCGTGGTTTAAAGAAACTGCAGTGATGAAATTGTTTAATACATATTTCTACCATTTGATGAGCCTAATGTTGTGCTGAAGGACCTAAGATACACTGTGCTGTATTTGGTTCAAACAAACTGAACCCCTTGATGTTTCATATTGCACACTCTCAATATGTGTGTATATGCACGCATATGTTGTGTGTTATGATCTGAATTTTTTAATTATTTTTACAAATATATTTAGGATTTTGTTATTTTTTTGACAAACCTATTTCTCTAAGGAATAAAGTATTTGTGTTTGCATATGACCACAGTGCTGTTTTGTGTATTTTGGCTTTATGTGAGAAGATATTCAGTGATCCACCGTGCCCTTGTACTCTGTACCATGTGTGAGCTGTTGGGCTCTATGTTTGACAGACTTTTCTTATCTACCATTGATGATGGTACCATGGACCGTCATCATGACGTCAGTGGACATCAGACCAAAATAAAAAAAAATGGTGCAGAAAAAAAACAGATTTATAATTCTTTGTGTGATTCTTGCAGGAAATGAATGCACCATCATTTGATGGTACCATGCTTCTCCACTATTATTCCAACCGCAGGGGACTCTGCCACATTGTTCCTTGTAATTAAAACTTCCTCTGGAATAAATGAATAAACACTTCCTACAGAAGAATATCTGCCCCTTTTGTTTTATTCTGGCTTTGACACTATTTGATTGACTTTCTGACTCTTTTACAGGTACTATTGGAGCTGATACTAAAGATTTTTTTCAACAGTGAAATAACGATGGATATTTCTCAAACAGCTAGAGGAATTGGAGAGAACTGGGAAGAAGTAGCTTGTGGTTTTCCTGGTTACACGGTGGCCAGCCGTTGATGCTCGTACCAACGTGGTCAGCAGTCAAATTGCACATTTTACAAGAACCCATTCCCTCCTGCCTTTGGCTAACAGACATAATGCCATGATCTGGATTAATGATCTGTGTTACAAGCTGTGTATGTAAGATACATTATTTTTACCCTAAACTGTAGTGGCTAAGGATAACATAGGCCATAAGAATAAACAAGACATGATTATAATGAAATACCAACTCTGTCCTCACTGTGTCCCCAGCCCTTTCATCAAAACAGATCCGGTATCAGTTCCTCCATGCGCAGGAGTCACTGGGAGACCATTAGGGGGCTGGTTCGCCATGACAGAGGTACAGTGCAGACACCCAAAAACATACATACAACACTGGACCCGACCTTTGCTCGATCCGTATGAAAAATGGAGACAGCCTGAGTGAACCCCCGCTGTCATCACCTAGGTCTGAATCCCAGACGTGTCCAGCCATCAAGCCCCGGGTCTCTGAGAGCTCTACGGAAGCCTGCACACGGGATGGAGCGCTAGACCGGTTAAGAGATACAGATGAATTGGGCCGAACAAATGTTAAAAAACAGCGACAGCCAGGTGGACACAGAGGTGATTACCAGTGCCATGGAAACCAACAATCAAAGCAAACACACCCGAACCAGTTTCTGTGTGGTCCTGTGAGCTGGTAATTACTTGTCAAATGGCTGATTGACTATAAATGATTCAACCATGGTGCAGCATATTTAACAAGTGCCATTGCTCTTGAACACGAGCCATTAACAAAAGAGCTTTTGTGCAGATGGCATCATTCATTCTCACTATGTATTACAGATCTATTTTCCCTCGAGTGAATGTGTGACACTTTGGATGTAGCACATCAAATATTACATTGAAGTAGACAGTATTTGCTTTGCTTGTAGCCCATGTCTGACATACTAAATAATAAATGTCTCTGTCAGTGATGGACTAATAATCCGATGAGCACAAAAGGTAAAAATATTCAGTTAATATTAAATAATACACATTTGTTTGCATGCAACATAGTGAAGAATCAACACGTTTACACTTGTTTGCTGGTGCATTTAAACCAACACAACCTGCAGTATATCAAACTAGAGGTACGCTATACTATGTAGTATTTAAAGTAGTATTTTGAAGTTTATTTGAAATAGGGGTGGTGTGATATACCGATATTGGCGATAATGACATTTAAAAATGAAATATTTATGTCATGTTAATACATACATGATAATATTATGTGATTAATCCAGTGCCTTTTAAATCAGGCTTTTGTACAGTTATGGTAACAGACTTTCTCTCCACCCCCCCAATAAAGTTATTCGTTTGCCAAAAAAGAGACAAATGCACAATAAACAAAGTTTAAGATGAATTTTACTGACAGCAATATTTTTTATTTTTTAATTTTCTATAGATATCGTGATGATATCATTACCACGAATTATTTTGGCCATGATAATCGTGTAGTGAAAATGTGATATCGTGACAGCCCTAATTTGAAGCATGGACATTTTGGCTGAAGCCTCTCTGAGTACGTGAGCTCTTGAGTTTCAGCTAATGCCAAAATACTGAGACAACAAATGTTTGCGCAGTAATAGCTTACAATGACTGTTGAAGGTGCCTTACATTTATTTTCATAATGGTATACCAAACACTGGTTTATTTACAAGGAAGCAGAGACTACAGTATGTGACGTGCACTAAAAAATACTCTTTAGAAACACTGTTAAGAAGCAGGTCACGTGTTTCAAGGCACACATGGCCCCTTGACTACCCTTCACAGTTTACATCGTGAAAAGAAACAAAGATGAATAACTAATGAGCCTGATGTTGCTCACGAGGCCCGAGTCAGTGACCACAGCTGTCCGTAAAAGGGCCGTCACCTGCAGGTGTGGGTCTCACTCCAAAACGACACCCCAGGTCGGGAGAGGAGTCCAGACATCCGATCCTCTCTGCAGAGGGCCCCGTGTCACATCACTGTTAACCGGGCCTGGATTGCAATGGCCTGCTGAAAACAACACCCGTAACCAGAGTCTTCTATTTGTGTGGTCGGGTGTGATAAAATCGGTCTGCTGGCTCTCTCATTAAGAGCCCAATCCACACTGACCTAAATGAAGAGGCTAACCAGTTTTGAGGCTCATTTCAGGTGTTTTCAAGTCTTCAAAAGTTCTGCTTCTATCAGGAATCTGTCTCAGTTATGGAAGCCAGCTCAGTGATTTTAGGCACCTCCTGGTGTTTGGCCAGAACTGGCCTGTTGGTGTAAATGTCATCCACAGGTAGAAGAAAGGTGACAGTTTTTACCTTGGTCCTGAAAGATGAAAGAAACCACAAGAGTTATACGCCTACAAAGCTGCAACTTAGAAATAGGTGTATGAGACAACATATCTTTAAATACATGACAGGCCAGTCTGTACCTGTTTTTGTGTACATATTCCTGCAGGGAGTGCCTGTTGGTTACTTTTCCCATTTCTTCTCTGGCCGAGTTACCAAAGATACCATTACCATGCTCGATCTGTTCATGTAGTCTTCCCCATCCAGAGTCACTGGGCTGTGCCCGATCAGTCCTTCCCTCTGTCATGGTCACACCGGACAAAGTGGAGCTGATAGAGTATCTTCGGACAGTCATGACGGCGTTCTCTGTGAAATAACATGAACATGATGCATTACAATGGATTCCTTCCCACAGTGTAGACATGGATATGAAAAGAAAGACATTTTCTGATGTCAAATCAAAATGTTAATTTTTCTACGCCAATTTAAAAATGTCATGACTTTCCATGTCTTAAAATAAACATATGCTTTTGTTTTACTTTCTCACATATTGTTGCTGTGAATAGAAAGTGCATTTCTGTTACAGTGTTTCATTCAGAGGCTATTGGATTGCTGTTGTAAAGATCCAGTGTTTTTGTAGTTTGAATAATAATATTAATATCAGGGTATCTCGGCTCTTAACTTGCTTTTGGATTTGAAGTATTCTCTCATTTAATTTGTCTCTTATGAGACCTCCAACTTAATGAAAGATGCTAAATCGTTGAAGTGCACCTTTAAAATAATTGCTGCGTCAGATGAAAAACTAATTATCATATTAGATTCTTTTTTTAAATCACTTCACACAAAAACAGATCACTTTCGTGTGTGCTATAGCAATATGTTGCATTACTTGTGACATTTGAATAACACGTTAATAGTTTGAACGCACAGCTGTGCAGTAACCGGACCTCTTACCTTGGTATTGCCCCTCCAGGACTGGCGCAGACACGTTTCGCCTCAGGTTCACATACGGGTTTTCCTCCATTCCCGCCCGCTGCTCTGCTACTGAAGATACAGTGCCGGCTCCCACTTGCATTGCCCCGAATGACCGTTGACCGTAGTCTCCCCGCAGCTCTCGGTTCTCCACCTCCAGTTTATTGATTTCATCGCGCATCTCCATGATAACCTGCGCCAGGCCGCGGGTGCTCTCCATGGCGCTGCTGCTGCGCTGCCAGTACCACGGCTTCCCAAAAACCGGCGAGGAGTCGCGCAGGAGAAGCTCGCCGTGCCGCTGGGGTTTTAACATTGTGCTCCCAAAAGCGTGTGCGGTCTTCCCTCTGTGTGCCTTTCTCTGTTGTGTTTTTGCCTCAATCTCAGTCCAGATCTTGTTCTGGGGGAGATTATGTCGCCTTTCACCACTTATACAGCTGAAAGGGCTCCGGTGATCAGTCAGCAGCGCACAAAGGATGTTTTATTAATCAGCCCCGGCGTCTTGTTTCAGGAAAACTAAGCAGGGGTCGGAAATGAAATGTGCACTACATTAGAGCTTGAATGGCGGGAGACCTACTAAACCTGCAGGATGTCTGAAATAGTTCGAGTTTATGACAACTTCTTGGTCCTGCAACACGTGCAGCACCTTCATTAGCTCAAGAGAAGATGGGCAAAATCAGATTTTTTTTCTGGGAACCTCACTCTTTGTCTTGTAATACCCATGTCTCTGATGGGATTACAATATCCTTACTCTAAAATATTAATTACATCTGTCAGCAAAATCTAGGAAGAAAACTAACAAAAAAAAAACACTTCAGTATTTTTTTCTGTTCTAAATGTAACATAGAATATCATTTATATAAAACAGCATTTAAAAGACGGTCAAATGGATCAGTTATAAATCCAATCTATGCTTGTACGTCTTCTTAGAGTGAGATTTTTGACATTTCACTCAGAAGACACCGATTGGAGACACAGGTGGTTGGATTGGCCTCTAATTCAAGCCTACTAGATATTCCTTCGTCTGTCTCGTGAATATGCAAGTTAATTGATAAAAGCAGAGGTTTGGCGGTCAACCCAATGATGACGGGAGATCTTTGAAAAAAACAACAACACCAATGAGCCAATGGCTACCAGGTAGCAGGTCTATGACCTGGACTGAATGTTGCTGGCTCAGAGCAACCTGACCCGCCAGACTGTAGGCCACTGGGAGGGAGACAGGCGTACATAAGCCGCTCTATGGAGAAGAGAAACCCAATCGGGCCCCTCTTTCTGGTTCACAAAATAGGCTACAGAGAGGGAGGGAGGCGAGAGAGATAAGACAGAGGAGAGGAGAAATACTGATCGTCTGGAAGGAAATGAGTTTGTTAAGAAGAGGTAGGTCAGTGAAACGCTATCTGCTGCACCTCAGGTGTGCAACCTACCGCCACTGCCCACGTTGCATTATTTGTGTGAGAATGTGTTGGCGACCACAGAGTGAGAGTGTAGAGACAGTCGGAGAAATGTGTGAGCTGTCTTGTCAGGCAGAGATAGAAACAGACAACTGAGAGACAGAGGAATGCAAGCTGTCTTTTACCACCAGCTGTATGTTCAGGGCCACTTAATCTCTTTTTATACACAGCGCAACAACCCCCGGCTTAGCATCAATAAGTAAACAACCACTCTGCTGCTCGCTCTCGGCACCGTCAGTAATTATACCCAAACTATTGGAGAAAAGTGAAACCCGATCCCATGGAAAACTGTCAGTCATTTCACTTTCATTGAAACCCCCACCACACGTGTTGTACTTGGTGAGTTCTCACAATACATTTTACAAATTTCTGTCTATATTACTTTATTTAAGTGACTGATCTAATTGTAAAAAAAAAACAAAAAAAAAACATTCTCTTAACTAATTCCTATTTTCAGATGGCATCTGAGCTGCCCACATACTAGTAAAATAGGATGTCAATATGGTTATTGTGAAAGATGGAGTCAACAATGAAGACGCAAAGCACAAAGGAAACCAGAGCCTCTGGGTAAACATAACGGAGACGGTCTGAAACAGAGACACCAAACAACAGACAGACGCAGTGATGATGAGAGCCTCCAGGCTCCATCAGATAAAAAAACTAAAAAACAAACACTGTCGGATTTGGATTCATTTGGCTACTGACTTTGTTCTGACCCCTCTGACTTTGGAAAATAAATCAATGATCCAAAACAAAAGATTGTTGCTTTTGGAGTCTATCCATTCATTTAAGGCAGGATTACTGTACAGCAACAGTAACCCTGCCTTCCCGAGTCGTTTCTACAGAACGATTGACAAACAAAGAAGACAGAACACAATGCATGCACTTATTTAACAGTAAAGTATGCCTCAAAGCACTGGCCCTGTGACATTAAGGATGAACGGAGATGACGTGACAGGTTGACCTAAAGCCGAATACCTTTCTTCTGGTTAAAACAACCCTGGCCTCTTTCATCTGGATGCTTTGATGCAGCAGTCTTTTCATCTCTTGCATTGGTCCTTCTCAGCTAAGTCCTACCACTGCATATCTAAAGTTATTCTAGTGTAATTTACTCCTTGAAAAAGAGTCCAACTCATGATTGAAGATATGAAAGCTGGACATTTACTGTACAGTTTGACAATGGTGGTTCACCCTCCACTACCTCTATGCGTTAAAATTGGAAACAATACAATTGGTATTAAGAGCTGATGGATTTAAACATTCAAACAGCTGCTGTCTATCATCTTGTGCACCATGGACCCAGGCAAAAAGTGATTTTCTTCCTCTTTGTTTGCTATTTCACACATTTCCATCTGTTGTGCAGGTGAAGGGCTTCACACTTGTCTATAATTAGCAGCGGTCCGGTCTCTGGCGCTGTCAATAGACAGAATGTGAGGGGCTGCTGAGCACAGCTGCAGCCAAGGCACAATTGTATTTTAGAAAGCTATTTTACCCCACTCAAATCTGGATTAATGCAATTAACACAGCGAGCAACATGAGCTTTAGTGAGAGGAAGGGTGATCTGAATGTAAGGTGCAATGTCCTATGAAAGACGAGTACATGTGGATGAAATGGAAAAGTATGTAGTATAAATCATGTATTTTGGACATTAACAAAATTTTATTTAAATGTTATACATAAAACTTTAGTTTTTGTTCTTTTTTTAAATTCAGCTAAACAAATATTTATATACTGTATATTTTATAAAAAGAAACATTTCAAACGTTTTAAATATTAATATTTCTTATTTACAATTCAAAACAGTACAGGAAACAATAACAGTAACAATGCAATTTCAATCATAAAAATGTTACAAAACATACTTTTTTTTTTGTTTCCATTTGAAAATTGGCAAGCTGATATTTCCAGAACGTTAGCAAGGATACAAAGTAGCAATGTGAAGCTGCTCTACATTCAAACAAGAACTGGAGGTGCGTTCAACTCTTCGTTAGTTAAAAAACCTGTAATCCAATTTATTTTTTTCACATTAGTCGTCTTACAAGATCTCTCCAGATAGTTTGAAGTACAATGATATTCCACAGAAAAAAAATGTAAAAACTGTCATCGAAACGCACCAGGGCGCTACGTGTTAGATAGCTGAACGCACCTCGAGCTCAGTAAGGTCACTGTTCTCTAAAGGGACTGGGATGTGGAGAGAAGGCGCATGTTGGGTGGTTGTGTGCATGTGTTTGTGAACATGTGCAGTGTGTACATTGTTTGTGAGCATGTTCTTTCGGTGTGTATGCTGATGAATCAGTTGGCAGGGCAGGGGGGGGGGGGGGGGGGGAGATCCATATGACACATGGATCGAGTCTCTAAAACCAAAACAAATGGTAGCTAACAGTCCAGCAGCCTGGCTTCTACTGTAGATAGTCAACGTTCAACGACAGGACCACAGACTATCACGACCACAGTCTACACACTTCTTCCCTTGTTTTCTCTACACCCCCCCATCAGTCACATTTTCCACTAACCTGCTGCTTCTTGCAGCAGGAAACAACTACAGTCAGAAGCAAGCAAATGAGCCACTTTCGAGGCTCGAACTGGCACTCCAAAGCCATTTTTGGGAAAAATAAATGTCCTCCCTCTCAAAAAAGGATTTCTTGAGTCTAGTGGCCATTCAGTAGGCGCTGTGCCGTTCCGTTCCTGGTTGTCTTGTGTGAGGAATCTGGACAAGAGCAAGAAAGAAAAAAAAAAAAAAAAAGCTTGCATTGGAACAGGAAAATTGAAAAGGCGGTTATAGCAGTTTGGCTCTGGGATAGATTGGCTGACACATGGGAGGAAGATAATGTGATTCAAGCAAGGAGCAAGGTGACAACGAGACGTTTTTTATGAGGGAATTTGATGACATGACATACCGGTCTTAGAAAGAGTGGACAGAGAGCTGTTAGAGAGAGAGGACGTACTGGCAGCAAGAACACTTTTTTGTAGCTGTAATGAAAAAAGTTGGAAAAGAAGTAGATGAAAACGTGAAGTAAAAATAGAAGCTGAGACACATGAGAATGATGATGCTCATTATGCCATGCGGAAAGAAAAAAGCAACAATGTGGTAATAAGATAAGTGTGGACACTCATTGGTCATTGCATGAGACCTGTTCATTCATTATGCCAGACAGCTCAGTCAGCATGTCTCGGTAGTGAGCTCTCATCTCCTCCTGGTACTCCAGCTGGTCCTCCTTGATCAGACGCTCATTCACATCCAAAGCCTGACCGCAGGCTTCTGCAAACTGCCTGCAGGGGGAAAACAAAGTTTTACTGATTATTAATCATGCCATTGAAGCTGACCTTTAATGTTTTTTTTTTCGAGAAGTAACATTGACAAAAGGCTCTAATGGGTGCTATTTACACTGTAAGAGTTTACACTTTGAAGAAGATCATTGCATTTATAAATCCGAATCTGCATATCAATTATGATCATATCATGTAACAATATAATCAAATAAATCAAAAAGGAACCGACCTTCATGAAGGTTTTCCTGTATTGTTTAAAATATTTCGTTCCCTTTTATTCAGGAATCAGGAAGTTTGACTTACTGTCACTATTAGTGCTGTCAGATGTACCCTTCATCTTGGCCTTTAATCATCTGGGTAAGTGTGTTACACTGTAACAATTGTTTTGTGTTTGTGTTTATTCGCTACTAAAATGGATTTAGCTCTAAAACAGCTGTCGAGACCATACACACATGTTAAATTAAGCATTATGTGTGTGCACTATTAAACACTGGAGAACACTTGTATGCAAATTTGTGGTAATACACCGTTTTTTGTTCTTATTATAAGGTGTTGAATTTTTGTTAAAATGTACATTCCTACAGTGTAATGCTAGGAACAAAATCCACAATTCTTTGCAGTGAAGTTTATAAATGTCCTACCTGAAGATCTCCTTGAGCAGTTTGACCTGGTTGTCTGGGTATTTCTTGGCGTTCTTCTCTTCTAAAAACGCCCTGGCATAGGCCATAGGCCCTGCATTCACCTGGAGAGGGGATGATCAGGTGAGACAAAACCAAGCAAACGATTTCAACCGCAAGTCAGTATTTTTGGAGGAATCCCCACCTTGACGCTGACACTGCCCTGCAGTTTCAGCTGCAGCCGGATCATGTCCACCTCCTCCATGTTGCAGTGCTGGTTGAGCTCAGAGACTTTACGTGACATCTCGTCGATGGCTACCTCAATCGGGTTCATTTCTGTGCTCTGCTGCTCCACCACCTGGATACGCTTCTTTAGGTAGGGGAGGCTGGAACTCGCTGTTGAGACAGAACCAATAACCCACTGGTCAGACCAACTCTACATTTTAGTTCCCTCTGTTTTAAAGGGCAGAAATTGTACAGACATATATGTTCTAGTGTTTTTCTGTTGACAGGGGGAAAAGTGGCAAACAAATACTTACTGGTCAGTATGGTGCGTCTCTTGCACTGCTCCTCCACGTCTCCATGTTTCTTTCCAGACAGAGTGAACGGCGTCTCAAATACGAAGCGGTTGATGTTGTGATGTCTCTCAAAATCTGTCCTTTTGTCCTGTTCTTCTTTCTCGTCAAAGTAGGGCACCACGTACGTTACCTGAATGTACGCAAACTTGGGGTCCAAGTCTTTAGGATTTACCTGTTTTTAAAGAATGTTAAGCAAGCAATGGTGAATGTCCACAAATTGACCAATAACTGGTAATAAATACAGCTTAGCAAATAATTCAGTTTGAATGTCTTAAAAGTAACTTAAACCGGCCACCTACCTTATTGGAGTCCTGGATCATCTTGACATTATCGGCTCCAAACTTGTCAGAGTAGAGTTTGAGTAATCTCTGGGAGATTTCCGACAGCCCTGTTAGCTTCGGCTCTTTGTAGATGAACTCTTTGCTCTCTTCCTCCTCAAAAAAACCCTACGACAACACATGAACACACTCTAGTCAACAATGCCTTTTACATGTATGGGTGTTTGTATGTATGCAACGAAAGTTTACTATGTGGATGTTGCTTTTGCTGTCAAAACAAGCTGTATGTCGGTGTGATTTTATGTTGCCCCCTAGTGGTTTCTTGAGTCACTGGTTGTACTCACAGGTGTAACACATGTTAGAACAACTCAAAGTGTCAGTGTTAAGCTCTGGATGGGAGAGTTCAGAGGTCATACTCAAAGCAGCATTGGAGGCAAATGTCAAAAGGTGATTGAGATTTATTAAATAGTTATTTTCCCGTCCACTGTGGCTTTTGGACACCAGCTCTTCTGAAATGTTTGGGGAGGAAACAACATCTTCCAACATCTTCATTGGAGATTATGGGAAGTAAAATGGACCACAGCAAGCTTGAAACAAACCCACCACAGGGTAAGAGCAGCAGATGTTAATGGAGGCAGAAGGAGAAGAGAGGTCAAAGTGGTTAGCACTGAGGAAAATGGAAAATCAAAGACATACAAAACTTACCACAATCTTGAAATAGAATATATTTTTAAAAAAGGAAGAAAAGAGCAGACGGAAGAATTAAGGACACTGACTCAGTAAAAAAAAATCTGGTCTTGTTATTTTTCAATCTCCCTGCCTCACTGATGAGAGACTGTAACTCTGTCCTCCGTTTGAGAGGATTTCTTATTCTTATCAGCTTATGAAACTTGACTTCAGAGCTCTGAAATCGCTGCATGGAAATACTATCCTCTCATTAACAAATAGGTGTGACAAGGATCCAGGTTCTTCAAATACAAGCCTGAACTGCACAGCTGTTCTTCATTGACAAAGCCATTAAAAAGAAAATCACCTGTTATCTGTATCAAATATGCATTAACCAATTCTAAAGAATTAGTTTATCAAAATAACAATATAGAGAAATAAAGATAAATTGTTTTTTGTTGCAGATGTATTGATCTCTACCACTGAGACTTCTTCCACCTTGGTTTGAGACACTCAAAGCAGTAAACAATGAGATTGTGACAACTAACCAGCAAAATCTCTATGCAGAAACGGTGTCCTATTTCATGCAAAGTAACATTGTTTATGAAAAGAGGCGTTTCCTTTGAGTACCAAAACAAACCAAAAACATTGTGGGGTGTGGAGTTGCACATGTGTTTGCCAAGTTGTAGTTTCCTAGGGCTTACAAGAGACACACAGTATTTTACTATAATAGCACCTACATGTTTACATTTTGGTCTTCATACTGAAATTTATATCTGTACGTTTAAGTATAACGCATACAGAGACATTTGGTACCAAATTTAGTCTGTCAAATCTGTCGGCGGTAGAGTTTCAGTTACTGTTGTTCTGCTGTGGCTTAAGTAATATGCGTGTAGTAAGGAAGTGTCGCTCACCTGTCCATAGAAAGCTACACGGTAGTAGCGTCCGAAGAGCCGCTTTTCTGAGTTCACCACCTCAGTCACCTTCAGGTAGGAGCGATGGATGTCGTAGTACAGCTCCGACAGCCTCTGTGGTCATGCACAAACACACTTGTAAGGTCAAACTTAGCTCAATATACACACACACACACACACACACACACACACACACACACACACACACACTAACAAAGGGTGGAAGGGTAACTTAACAGTTACCTTAAAATCCCTTCTCTTCTCAAAAACAGCAATCACAGGTTTGTTGATGTCAGCGATGAGCTCGTATCTCTCTGATTTCCACAGGTAGTCCACACACAACTCCAGCTGCTCTACCAGAGTGTCCTACACAGTACAGCAGGAAGCATGTTAGAGAGAAAGACTGCAACCCGGTCGCAGTATTTTCAAATCCAATATGCTTTTAAACGCAACAGGGATCTTCTCAAACTTGTAATAATTGTTCTGGTCATTAAATGATACTTGAAAAGCAAAAAGGTGACTTCGGTCATTTGTGAAGCTAAAAAAAAGTGTTTTATTATTTCTTTATGTGTATTTAGAATGCTGTTTAGGATTAAAAGCTAGCACTGACCTCAGTATAGGGTGTGTCTTGTGTGCCAGTGTCTTCTTTCATGGCACCCTCCTCCTTGACATTGGGGCTGATGCACATAAACGCTGCCCAGCCCATAGAAAACGACGCTGGGATTTCAAAGAAGTGAAAGTGACACAAAGGCAGGTTAGCAAGTAAAAGGATATCGACTTGCGCAACATTTATGCTCAGCTTGTTAACATACAGAAGCTGTGTCAAAATACAAAATGTTTTACGATCAAGCATTCGTCAAAAGTGGTAAAATTTTTGCAGACTAAATAAAAACTTAAAATGAGAGCGTGCTTCATATCAAACCTTAGTGACACTAAAAAACTTATCCCGCGAGGCGTGAGTGAACAGTGAAGGTCAACAGCGACAGTAGTGACAGTGATAACCGGACACAATCATCATAAAGGCAAGAACAGCAGTCGTCAAAAATATTTAACTGTATTCTATAATACAGTGTAGAAACCTTATTTAACACCAGAGT